TCGGCCGGCGTGCCCACCGCAGCTCGCTCACCGAAACCTCGTATGGAAATGCGCCCCCGCCTCCCGTTACCATCTAAATAGCATAGATTGTGATAAACTGCGCCGTCGATGACATTTGAAATGTAAATAAACGTGCGGTGAGAATCGTTTCTTCCAGTCGCCGAGCGGCGGCCGGGCCGACGCACTAACGGCGCGCCGCCGCGCCAGCTGACCTGTCGACGATCCCGGCGCGCGACTGCGTCGCCGGCGCCGCAGACGCCGCGACCACCATTGTTTGCCCACACCGAGAACAATCTTGAGATGCTATGCGTCACACGGGAATAATTATTAACGCTATGAATTATGGAGAGGCCGGGAAATTATAGTCTCCGAACGCTGGTATGTGCGAAGGGATGATGAGGCGTAAGGACGAGGATGGTATGCGGCCGCAGCGCTAAATGGCCCTTCTGGTCGCCTCGGTGACGATGTGGGCTGATAAAGCGAAGATGTCCGGGTGACAGGAATAACTAGCGGCGGCCGGGCCGCAGCGACCGGGCGGATACCGCCCGCGTCCTGTTTACACTGCAGCGGAGCTCGCCGCGATCGGCCGATACCACTGCCGGCGATAGGGCCGCCCCCTGGGAATGGCACAATGGACCGCTCCGTGAGCGCGACTCGCACCTCGCGCCGGCTTATAAATTGCCTTGGGTTAAGTGAGTGTCGAATTTGACAGGTCATCCATGTTATGAAGAATGATTCTAGTTTATATAAATTATGTAAAACATTTCGACGGACACGGGATGATGTATCGCGATGTGATTCGAACCAAGTGAGGAAACCCGAATAGACGAGAATCGCTAATTAGCCCAACGGAAGAGGTCATGAACCGCCCCTAAACGGCGCTACAAGGGTGCTTATGTTACACGCCGTGCACATGTGTTTTCATATGCAAATTGCAGCCAGGAGTGGTTTGCCAGTTGGCACAGCTTTAGAAAGCTGCCAAGGACACGAAATGCAAGTGCGATGAGGGTCGGAATTTATGTCGAAGCCCGTATCAGATGGTGTACGTACAACCGGCAAAAGAGCGAGTTTACCCGTGTTATTAACGAGACGGTTTGAGCCATCGCTTACGGCCGGGCGCGGCCTGAGCGGGCGCCGCTCCAGCTCGGCTGGAACGCCACCTGCACACCAGCCGCGGCGGCAGCAGCCCCCCCCCCCGCCCCCCCCCCCGATGACGTCACAACAGCGCCGCTGACTTCAGCCGACCTATTCGTCTTAGGCGGCGCGCAGTGATGGCCGGTGCGGCGGGCCCGTCACGCGCCGGGCACAACGACGCCCCTGTGCCGCGCCGGACCCCGACCGCCAAGTATACCGGGGCCGCGCGCCGCGCGCGCCGGCGACAGGCGCTCGTTGTCCGCGCCGCTGGCGCCGGCGCGCGTCCGCCGACGACGGGCGATCGGTGCCCACTTCCTGCCGCTGTTTTGCCGCCGCCGACAATGAGTAATGAATCGGGGAAGCAGCAGTCAGCGGGGCGCGTTTTTGTAATCAGTTGAGAAGGCGGCGGCGGCGGCAGCGACCTGTCGTCGCCGCCGCGCCCCTCCCGCCGCCGTTCGGCCCGTCTCGAAGCCCTCACCCAGGCGGGTAGTTAGTTCCCCCCCTCCCCCTCCCCCCGTCGGCGCTCTGACGCGCAAAAAACTGCCGCCGCGAAACAAATAGTGTACCGCGTCCACTAAGGGTTCGTATTTTAGTCGGCCGAGTAGTCATTTGTTGCCGCCGGCGCTCCGGTCTGGCGGCGGCGACGGCGACACGGGAGCGCCTCGCCACGGCCGACGTGACCGCCGGCTCGTCGGGGCCGGCCAGCGACGATCGAGCACCGGAGCAGCCCTGGTGATGAATTTTTAAACCCCGCGAACACCCGTCTGGGGTATCGTGAGCGACCGCGCGGTGGGCAAGACCAGGATATTGCGCCATCAAGGGGCCGGCTTTCAATTAGTTCGACCCAGATGTATCCCAATTTACGGCGGCCGTCGCCGATAAAGCAGGCGGTGTTCGCGAGACGGAGCGAGGGGAGAATGAGCCGCCCGACGCCGTCTGTTTTCCGCCGGCTCTTCAATAGTCGAGAGCCGGCCAAGGAATTACCGGGATTACAGGAACAGCGGGGGCCCCGATCTGGAAACAAATAAACCGACGCCGCTCCATCGGCGCTGGCTCACCAGTGCGGCCGCGGCCCGCACAAACGAGACGTTTTTCAATCCGGCCGGCGCGCGGCGGGAGGCGCCCTCAGTAAACACGGGTGCGAGCGGCGGCGCGCAGGGCCATCGGCCGCGCCGGATCAGCCGCTGGCGCGCCATCCGCCGTCAGCCGGCGGCCATCAGCAGCGCCGCTAACTTATGCTTTTGTTTTCCGTCGGGCCCGGCGGCCGCGCCGGCGGCGGAAATCGAACGTCATCCGTGTCGAGTAACGGTGCGATATCGAGCTGGCGTCGTCGAGCGTCTCCGGGGCGTCGCCTCGCCTCGCCTCGCCCCGCGCGGCCCCGTGCGCAGCCGGCACCAATTTATGCCGTCTGTTAATTGATTGGAGGGCGGCGAGCGCGCTCTCCCACGAGCGGGCGGGCGGCCGGGAGGTCAGGTCGACGGCGCGCGCCAGAGGTCAGACGGCCCGCTCTCGGGACCGGCCCGAGGTCGGCGACTGAGACGCGGCCTCGGGCGCGTGTTTGGAGACGGGGTGGACCGGCCGGGACGGGCCGCGCCAGACGGCGAAGTCATCCGACGGTGAAGTCACTGCGGGAAAGTCGGGGAGACGGCCTGCGCATCTGCCGGCGCCGGCCGCCGACAGGGGTGCCGTCATCAGCAGTGCCTCATCGAGGCGTGCCCGGCCGGCCGCGGCGCCTGCATGCTGATGCCCCCCCCCCCCCCGTCTCTCTCCTACAGCGGCTAGCCAGCAGCCGCCCGCGCCGCCCATCGTCGAGCCTTCTTAATTGATTCGATTCACGGCTAACCCCGGAGTCTTCCGCTGATTGAGACGAAACATGACGCGCCGGCGGCGAGAGGCGCGACGGTCGCTTGGTCGTCGGGGCCACCGAACGCCCCGAGATCCGATCCATACCCCACCGCGGCCGGAGCCACACCGAGCAGACCCGCACACCACAGCGGCCGGACCCACACCGAGCAGGCCACACACCGCCGCGCCGCCGGCCGGAACGTAGCGTGATCCGCGCCATTCTGTAAAACAATGTTGTACCCCATTTGTAATACATCAAATCGCCGCGCGCGCACCGCGTTTTTTGTGCTGTCCGGGCCTGTCCTGGCGCGCGCGGGCGCCATCTGGTGCTCTGGTCGGCTCGCGGCCCCGCCTGTCCGTACAGGTGGCCCGGCCGACCGCGTAAAAACAGCGTGTCGGCAAGGGTCAGATCGGCGCGCTGTCGGGCGCTACGGCCGCCTCTCTCGACGCCGCGCCGCGGGCAGGACACAGCGGCGGCCCCACTATCAGCGGCGCTAATGGCGCACCAAAGGGGCACAATTACGGCGCGCGGAGAGGCCGCCGGCGCGGTGCGCACGCACAGGCGGTGATCATGGCCACGCCGCCGCCGCCGCCGCGCCCGCATCACGGTCGGCCGGCAGTCATGGTGCTCCGGTCGTGCACGACGAGAGGCATTGTCCGGCCCAGCGGGCGCCGGCCTCGCCCGGCCGCCCAGCGCAGCGCCGGCCAGCGCCGGCCAGCAGCCCAGAATGAGATGTTTGCCGGCCCGCCCTAATAACAGTCCGTAAAAACACGCCGCACGGCCGAGATTCGCGGCCGCCGCGCCCGCCGGCCGCCGTTCAAAGCAGCGGGCGAGCGGGCGGCCGGCACACTGGAAAGTGAGCTCTATGGGCGCCCGGTCGGCCGGTCACCCGCAGGCTTAGAACAGTAGATCTAATGGTCCCGAGTAACACCAGAACACGCCCGTAGTCAAATGGCAAAATCATTCCTTGTCTATTAATAACGGACGGCCCGGCGGCCGGACCTATTACGGCGCGGTCTGGACGCGGAGCGCACCCACTTCCGACCCCTCAGAGGCGTGCAGTGCACGCACCGCCGACCGGCCGGAGGCGACTCCTGCCACGTCACGTCCGCCGCCAGACAGCCGCCTCGACGGCCGCCAGCTCTGCACCTCCGATGAAGACATCTCCACTGATACAAATCGCCAAATTATGCTGATTATTGTGAGCTGGGCCAATAACTGTGGTGGAACAGTAGGCGGAGTCGGCGGCGGGTCGGTGGGGTCACTGCCGTTCGCGCCATTAATTACCGGCCATGCACCGTCACCAGGTGCGCTGGAGCGGCTGGGTGGATCCGCCGACGGCCGGCGGTACAACACGCGACCCTGGGCCGGCGGCGTCGCCGGAGATCGGGGCCAATTCAGCGGCGGCCAGACGGCGGCCGGTCGGACGCCGCACCCGCCCACAGGGACGACACCCGAGCGGCCGTACATCAGCCCCCGCCCGGCCGGCCGACAGGCGCCGGCGCAGTCGGCCTGACCTGAGAGGGCGCGGCGCGCAACCAGAGTCGACTCCAGCCGGCGGCACCAGCTCCGAGCACGCCCCGGCCGGCGGCGTCAGCTCCAGGGCACCCCGGTCGGCCACGGCCGCGCTGGCCGCCCGGTCGCTACGTTCGGAGAGGGAGGTGCGACACGACCCCGGAAAAAGCACGCAGCCGTCACGCAGCCCGGCCATCAATCGGCTGGCGACGCGCCGTCAGATTATGCGAGGCAACGCTGCAGAAAATTAACGGCGGCTCCGGTTTCACAATGGCGGGCGCCGCAGCCGCGTGTCCTGCACGGCCGTCGTTTGGCGCGGAAACGGCGCGCCAAATGAGCCGCTGGCAGGGAAGCCGGGATTACGCTCATAAAGGAAACGGCCGTGTCGCGGCACCTGGCAATGGGCCGTGCGGTTTGTCTGTGGCAGGGCAGCTTAGGGCGGCGGGGCGCTCGGCGGGAAGGCTGCACCGATTGCGGGGCGGCCGTTCAGCGGGCAGCCACTTACCTTCGGCGGAGCAGGTAGACGCCAGCACGGCCAGGAGCAGCGTCGCCAGGGCAGCACGGCGCCGCGCCACACACATCTTGCGCAGTCTGCAAAGAAAAATTAAAAGTCTTAATGAGGTCGGTCGCATTCGCTTCATTGTCGATTCAGTTTGGCACGGTCGCGATCAAAACAGTGAATAATGACGTTTCAAATTTCCGCACGTCTTGGGCGTGCTCGCGGACGGAGGAGCTATTGATTGGGAGCGTCGGGCGGCTGACAAAGACAGCTCTCGCCCGGGTCCCCAGAGCCCGCCGGCCCGCCGGCCGCGGCTCGAGTCGACTCTCCTCCGCGCCCATCCCGGCGGCGTACATAAATACGGGGCCGCGGCACGGTACGTGACCACAGCAATAAGGCGGGCCGCATAAATCAGCGGCACGGCCGACCGGCCGCGGTGCGTGACCACCGCTCGGCATCGGCGCCGGCGCTCCCCTTCCGCGCGGCGTCCGCCGACGGGGCGCCGCTTTTTGTCGCCGCCCGCCCCCTCCGGAGGGCCGTCGTCGGCCGGCGCCGGCCGACCTGCCAGCACAGCCGATCAAGACTTCGCCGGCGGACCGATTTTACGAGTTTTTAAAACGTGTATTAGACATTCCTGGGTAAACACGGACCGTCTAATGGGCGTCCCGCGGCGCGAGAGCCCCACCGACAGGCCTGCCGTCGTCCCGGCCGGCCCCGTGCGTGAAATATGGGCGCCGCTCGTGCGTAATGAAACGCGGCCACGGCTCGACCGGGCGCGCCACCGCGCGGTCCCCGCGCCGGCATGTCTCCGGGTAAACAGAAAAGTTAGCCGCCGCAGTCAGTGATGGCGCCCGAAAGTTAGTCGCCTGCCCGGCCGGCTGAGCCGCCAAGGAGAGCGCGATCATCACCGGTCTTGTTTACACCCCGGAGACACCCTGAGACGAGCCGGCCGGCAGCCTGTCGCCAGCGGCGGCTTGGCAGCACACCTCCCTCGCTCCGCTTTCAATCCCGATTAGTACCGCAGGGAACGTTCATTCATTTCCTCAGCAAGCTCCTTTCCTCAGCATGTGTTGGCAAATCCTTAGCGAATCAGATCCAGCTATCTGTCACGCACGGGCGCGGCGTGTTGCAAACAAAACAAAGTCCTCACTTTAAAAGTCTTTACTTTAAAAGCATTTCGTGCCGGGGGCCATGTTTGCTTAATGTCCGCCAGCTATGTCATCACCGACCAGACCCCGTATCATATTCCGGAGCCCCGTAAAAAACGACCGGATGCATATTGGACGTAAATCACACCCGCCCGGCCCCACGCAAGGTCCATGTCGCCGACCGTTTCCAGCCCGGCAGGGGTGCAGGTGGGAGGGGGAGGGGCCTGGACCCCACATTCCAGCCGCGCTCGACTGGCCGGAGCGGACCGGGACCGTTCCCGCTGGTCCGGTCCGCGGACCGCGACGTCTGGGGTGGCGTCGCCTGGTCGGCCCACTCTGTCGGACTCCGGCGTCCCGGCCACGTCGACGGTGGCACTGGCTGGGCGCCACGTAGCAGGCCAAGTTAGACGCTGGTCTCGATAGCAACCCACCAGCGACAGAGTTGGGGGACAGGGCGATACAGAAACTTCGATGACATTGGAACGACGAGCACCTATTAATACGGACTGCTATGTGGTCTTGTACGAAAATGTCACATGTTATACAACAAGAAATACCACCGCAAATTGCAGCGACAACTCCGTGGAGACTAACCGCGCTCACCGATGCTGGTAACTTTTCGCGAACGACCCATATCTATACTGCATCGCTAGTGCGCTCGCAAAGGTCGGCGAACTTCATACCAAGCGGCGAAGGTGAAGGAGAGAGAGAGAGAGAGAGAGAGAGAGAGAGGAGAGAGGGAGAGAGGAGAGAGACGAGATGAGAGAGAGAGAGTGAGAGAGAGAGAGAGAGAGAGAGAGGAGAGAGATGAGACGAGGAGAAGAGAGAGATTGAGAAGGAGAGAGAGAGAGGGAGGGGGCGAGTGAGAGAGAGAGGGAGAGAGAGGAGAGGAGGAGAGGGAGGAGAGAGAGAGAGAGAGAGAGGAGAGGTAGAGAGAGAGGAGAGAGGAGGGAGAGAGAGAGAGAGCGACGGAGAGAGAGAGAAGGAGATGAGAGAGAGAGAGAGTGAGAGAGAGAGAGAGAGCGAGGAGGAAGGAGAGGAGAGGAGAGAGAGAAGAGAGAGGAGAGAGAGATAGGGAGAGAGAGAGAGAGCGAGAGAGAGAGAGAGGAGAGGGGGGGGGGGGGGAGGAGAGGAGGGAGGGAGGGAGGAGGGAGGAGAGCCTCAAAGCCTCTGCGCCCTCGGCGAGTCTTTCAGACGCCCGGCTGACGCCTGAGCCTCAGAGTCCACGGCCGAGCCCGTCATCCATCCAGCCGCCAGCCACCGGCGCCGTCAGCGGCGGCCGGCTCGGCTTCTCCAGCGCAGCGTGTAACTGAGACGGCACGGCCGCTCCCGGCGGGCCGCCTGCGCCCACCGACCCCCACCATCAGCCAAATGTCACGTGCCGCGTATGAATACAAAACGGCTTGTTGATAGCCGCTGTGACAGTGGATGTGAGCGAGGGATCCCCGGGGAGATGGCCGTATTGACCGGCCGTGTGTTATTTACCAGCGCGCAGTGTCAGCGCTGACCACGTCGCCGGCCGAGCCGCCGCCGCCGCCGCTGTGGACCCGCCATTATTTCCGCCTGTTTATAATGGCTCCATATGTTTGGAGCGCGCTGCGTGCCGTTTTCGAGCGCCCGGCGGTGGCCGCGGCGGCGGTCGTGGCAAGATGGCGGCGCGAGGACAGGTGCCTGAAGCGGGGCGGGCGGGCTCGCTCGGGCGGGCTAGCTCGACTCGACTCGACTCGGCTCGGCTCGGCTCGGCTCGGCTCGGCTCGGCTCGGCTCGGCTCGGCTCGGCTCGGCCCTGTTCGGCTCGACTCGACTCGGCTCGGCTTGGGCTCCGAGCGACCCCTCGCTGGGCGCCTGCAGGACCGGCCCAGCCGCCGTCGGCGCGCCTCCTCGACGACACGAGGCCGCATGATCTATGGGCCGTGTTAAAATGCAAAGCCGCGACTATAAAGTCAGCGCCGCTATGGTCTAACGACAGCGGGAGAATAAAGATATCGGCGCGACTGAGCCGGCGCTCGTTACATGGCCGTTGGGCGCGCGGCGGCCAGGGTGTGGTCGGCCACCGCGGTCGGCCGGCTGCGTGCGGGCCCGGCTCGAGCGGCTGCACCAGCTGCCGGGCCGCTCTGCAGCTGCCGGCTGCAGATCCGACTGGTCCGGCCCGGTCCAGCCGAGCGTACTGACCTGCGCAGGACGTCAGCGGCACGCTCGTTTGATGGCGTTTAGCGTCCGCGCCAGCACACGTCATCGTGGCGTGCGGGCGGTCTGGGATGGCCACCCCAGCCAGCCCTCCACCCCGTGTAGTCAGTCGGAGGAGGATCGCTCCACCCCTGCCCGCCGGGCATGCGCCTGTCCGCCTCGTGACGGCGCGGGCGCGCGGGCGGACACCCTGTCGGCGCGGCGGCCGGCGGCCAGCCTCACGGCGCCCAGCGCGGTCGGCGTCCCGCGTCCGACCGGCACGCCACCGCCGCTCCCGAGCCGGCCGTACCTCAGCCGGCTGTAACTGTCGACGCCGCCCGAGCGAGCCGGTAATGAGGAGGTGGGGAGGTCGCTCGTCGACGGGGGGTGCCGCCGGATCAGTCGCCGGCCCCGATCGTATCAATAACCGGCCGCCGGGCGGCTGCGGCGGCGACCGACCCCGCTGGGCGCCCGCTCTCGGCCGGAATCAATGGCCGGCGCACCAGCGCGCACTGGCCACGGAGACCGCCGGCAAACCGTGCAGCACTCGCCGTGAGCTCTGGCGCCGCCCCGCGCGCTGCAGACCGGGCGTCTCGACCACCTGTGCAGCGAGGGCCGCTCCAGCACTGTGCGCTGTCAGCTCAGGCCACTCTCTGCACCGCTCTCTCGGACCTACACCAGCCGTGGCCTGTTCATCGTGCACAACAACCCGGCCGGCCTGTGCTGACAAACCGCGCTAATTGTCCGCCTCCGGTACACAACAGGGCGCGCTAGAGGAAGCCCGCCGATGAGGAATTAACGCACCGGCCAGGCAAAATAAACAGGTCGGCCGCAAATGAAAGGCCCTCGGGCGGCATTCCTGGCGCGTGACGGGCGAGCCAGGCGATAAACAGTTGGAGCGGCCACGTCGGACAGCGTCACGGCACGCCATTACTGTCGGGTCGCGGTCGGCCCGGTGTCGGGCCGCTCACGACAAATGACGCCGCGCAATATCTATGTTGACAAGCGCAGACCCGCTCTGACAAATGGCGGCTGGTGGCGCGGCGGCGCGGCCGTAACGGACCCATTGTGAGCCGGCGCCGCTGCATGATCGCTGCAGCCGCCTTCCCCGGCCGCTCCCAGTGGCGACAGCATACCGGCCGGCCTTCCCACGGGCGGCCGACCGGCGCCGCTCGCAGCGGCCTTCCCAGGCCGGCGCCGACGCCGTGGCGCGCACCTGAGCGCCGGCCGGCCTGCACCGCGCGGACGGTGCGGGCAACGAGCGCGGCCATATGATCATCAGACGCGCGTCCGCCCCCACCCCAACCGGAACCGACTTATCCCAGCCCGTCCCCGGGGCACCCCCGGCGGCCCTGGCCGGGCAGGTCGTAATGGGGCGGCCAGGCCGGCGCGGCGGCCCTGACCCCCGGCTCATGAGCCCGGCGGCCCGCCGGCGCCCGCTCCGGTGTCATCAGCGGAGAGGGCGGGGTAGCTTGACGAGGGAGCGGGCTGGGAGGCGGCGCGTGGCGGGCCTGCGGAGAAGGTCGACGCCGAGAAGAGCCGGCGGGTCGTACATCAGCCGAGCCGCCGCGCCAGGTCGCCGGCAGCCGCCCCGCCGGGTCAGAGCCGGCGGCGGCTGCCCGGCGGGCGAACGGCTTGATGGTCCGACCCTGCACAGCTTGGTCCAGTAATTGGTAGGCGGCGAGCTCGACCGCCGGTAACCGGCGCGCAATGGAAGTGTCGGAAACAGACGGACGGGCTGCGGCAGCCAGAGTCGCTGAACACGTGACCGGCGAT